AGACACTCAGTTGCATTGCTCAGCAGGAGAGAAATCGTTAGGGTAATACCAGTTCCACACATGCCAGAATAACAAATGTCTGTCATTCCTCTTTTTCTTTCCAAATACACACACACACAAAACACACACTTGCACATGTGTACACATATGCACATCCATAGTCATATAAGTATGCAACTGAATGCACACATAGTCATATATTCATACCACATGTAAACACATATATGCATTCATCATGATATTAAATAAATGAATAATTTCTACCAAACATACCTTTAGAGTCTTTGAAAGCATATCTAACAAACTATGCCTCGTTCTGCTTCCAGAACCTTGATTTCTGCTTTTCTTTTTCATTGCATCTCATGCTAATCTGTTCCTACATGGCAGCACAAGCCAAAGGTTCTCATATGAATGTATTGTTTCCTATATAATAAAAGCCTAATATGCTAAATGTCCAGTCGACCAGTCGGCCGTTAAACCAATCAAAGCGTAGTATGCTAATGATATACTAAGGCCACTCAACTGCTCACTATGACATGCACTGACCACCAGGGGGCAGACACTCTGACCGGTAGGTTACCTTGCTGCTGGGGTCTGGCCGATTGGGACTGAGAGAGACAGGCCGGACATGCCCTGGAGCCCTCCTACAATCCCTCCCTGGCTGGCTGACCTCTCACGTCCCTCTCCAGCCCCAATCGTGCACTGGTGTGGTTCCTCGGCCTGGCCTGCAACCTCTCGCAATCCGGGACCGCTCGGGGGATGTCGGAGAGTCGGTTTCGGCCAGATCCCACAGGCCAGCCCGAGAGACCCCACTGGTGCACGGAATTCATGCAAGAGTAGGCCTTCCTTCCCCTGGTTTCTGGCACTAGCTTCCCTCTGGCACCCAGGACATGGGCTTCCCTCCGGCCACCAGCAGGCACCCAGGACCCGGGCTTCTCTCCAGCCACTGGCAGGCACCTGGAAACCGGGCTTCTCTCACAGCCCTGTTTCATCCAGAAGGTCATCTGGAAGGACATCCAAAAGGATGCCTGGTTTAATTAGCATATTACACTTTTATTATTATAGATTAAGTTAAAACAAAACATAGGGCAACAACTTAAATATTTACTACTGTCTGATTTGCCTTTTGGGTTGTGCTTTCTTCAACTTCTTCCTTCTTCTCTCACCCAGCTCTTAAAAGTGTTTTGGGTGCTCCTTCATTTTCATTGAGCATTGTTTAATTGGCCAACATCCTGACTTAATGTCAAGGTTTCTCCATAGTAATATCTCAAGTTATTACCATTGATTATAATGAGTTTGAAAGCAATTACCTGGAAGAAATCAGCCATCGGAACCCCTACATCCTACCATTAGAAACAACAAACCTGAGGAGAAAGTCCAGGAAGTAATGTTTAAATAGTGTTAGATCAATTAAATTTCCTTTCCTTTTATTTCTTATTAAAATAACAATAATGTTATGTTTTAATTAGTTCTAATAGTTTCCCAGAGAATTAGACAAGGAGTTAGACCATTTTATAGTCATTTTAATAATGAAAAAGACGAAGCTTTTAAATACTATGAGATTTGGTAAAAGTCATTCAAAAAATTAAGAGGCCAACCAGGATATCCTCTTTTGTGATATATCTGTTTGTGTCTTACTTTTATTTTCCGTTGAGTTTCCTGTGTTTTCTATGTTATTTCATATATTGATTTTTTAATGTATTAGTACAGAGTCTTTGTAAATGACCTATATTGTATATATATTCTTCCACTGGCTTATTTTGCATTCTCTTAATGGTGTGTTATGATAAACTAATGATGCTGATTAATGTTTTCCAGATCGTCAGTCTTTCCCCAATGGTTAGTGCAGGGGTGGGCAAACTTTTTGACTCGAGGGCCACAGTGGGTTCTTAAACTGGACCGGAGGGCCGGAATAAAAGCATGGATGGAGTGTTTGTGTGAACTAATATAAATTCAAAGTAAACATCATTACATAAAAGGGTACAGTCTTTTTTTTCAATAGTTTTATTCATTTCAAACGGGCCGGATCCGGCCCGCGGGCCCTATCGTATTGCCCTCGGCTGGCTTAGTGTGTGTGTGTTTTGTTTTCGTTTTGAAGTTGTTCAGAGACCTTTATTCTGATCCTCATTACTCACTAAGCAACCTACAGAAAACATTTTCTTTATCTCTACTCCAAGCAGCAGCAGCTGCACCCAGGCCCAAAATGAAAGGCATAAATAGTGGAAGGCCTTGTAGAGAAAAGCTAACAGGTGAGATCTCTGCTTACCCTGGTTAGAAGAAGGTAGATTAGGGAAAGTGCATAAGTATAATATTTCAAAGACTCTGTTCTTCTAAGATGAGGCCAGCAAGAGAGGAGCTAGCTAATGGACACAAAACTGCCCAGCTCAGCAATCTGATAACTTCACGTTTTTTAAAGAGCTGGTCTCTTTCAAGTTCCTCCATGTCTCCAGAGTTCACCCTTCAGGAGATCCCACAGAAAACTGGAGGTACTTATCAGAGCCCCTCTTCCTTGGTGGGTCCTGACCTCCAAGTTTTGTCTGTCCCTCTTATCTCTACCCCTCCAAACCTTTCAAGATTTCTAGAGGCTCTGTTCAACTTGGCACATGTAGAATTTCAGACTCACTATGTTGCACCTCCTGAACTTTGTGATGCATTGATGGCTCTTGGGTGCCTTGAAATAAGGTCTTATATAATACCAGAGGCCCAGGGTGCATGAAATCATGCGCGGGTAGCTCGCATCCGCTTGCCTCAGCTGGCTGCCCCGCCCATAGCCGCTTCTAGCTCGCACCCCGCCCTCCACTGCTCATAGCTCTCCGCTGCTAGTAGCTCCGCTGCTAGGATGCCTGCCTGCGTTTGGTCGTGATGGCGTTATGGCGTTAGGTCACTGGCTTTTTGTATATATAGATTTCCAGTGTTTCTAGTTGTTCTTGGTACAGGGGTTAGGCTACATCACAGTATTCTACCTTAGGCAGAAATTCCTTTCTTAATGTGATTTCAATTTGCATTTCCTTCCTTATTAGCAAAATGAATCATCTTTTCACATAACTACATGCCATTTAAAAAAAATTTAATGAACTGTTGTAAATTTTTTCTATCGTATTCTTTATCTTTTTCATCTCTATTTTAGAGTCCTTTATATATTAAAGATGTCTATGATAAAAGGTATAAATATTTTCCTCAATTTATAACCTTTCTTTTTCTTAAACATTGCTTATGGTATTTTTTCTACCCACAATTTATTATGTTTATATAAAGTAAAATAGTTCCATTTTCTGGTTATTAATTCTGTGCTTTCAAGGATAGTCAGCAAATATTTTCTCTTCTCAGAGAAATATTTTTTCTGTGATTATGTCTTTAAAGAAGGTGTTGATGAAAAATTAAAAAATGGTCCACTTTCTAGAATTGGCAGAGTGAGAAAGGATATGATACAGTGTTAAGTCCAGTTGGAAGTCCTAAGTTTTGTTTTCTCTTCCTCAGCCCCAGGAACTAGTGAAAAGAACTCATGGACACAGTTTTTATGTTGTCCTTGAAGGGGTTGGGAGCCTATGAGTCTCCATTTCTTCCTGTGTTATCCTCCCGACTTCTCTCATCTCATCAGGGTTACTTCCATACTGATGTCTCCAAAATACGTGCATGTCTAATTCATAATTCTCTTCCTCATCCCTGGATGCAAAAGCTGCTTTGACATCTTCACAGAAAGGACCCAGTACTTCAGACTTCCAATCTAAAATGTCTTTCTCTACCTTCCTCAAATTTGCTTCTTTTATCTGTCTTCAGATACTACATCCAGACTCAGAGATTGATCACCTTTGAGTCATACTTCTCTATTGTCAGTAAATCATTACAAAAGTGCAAGTTCCATCTTTGAAGGTATTTTTCTCTGAAGAAATTATAAACTGTATCTTTCCCAACCTTGCTTCATTCTCAACCTCAGGCACACCGAGTTTAATATACTGCAGGCTCAACAAGCACTCACGTAATAAACATGAATTTAATCTTCTGTTTAAAAAATTACAGAAATAATTAAAACTCTGAAAGTATGGATTTTCCAGCACACCACATGTGTATTTGTATTTTCAAATGCTCTGGCCTTTCAAGTTGTGGAAACGTAATAGATACTTAACTAAAGCCCTGGCCGGCTTGGCTCAGTGGATACTTAACTAAAGAAATAAGAGGATATTGGGAGCCTATGAGTCTTTCCATTTCTTCCTGTGTTATCCTCCTGACTTCTCTCATCTCATCAGGGTTACTTCCATACTGATGTCTCCAAAATACGTGAATGTCTAATTCATAATTCTCTCCCTCATCCCTGGATGCAAAAGCTGCTTTGACATCTTCACAGAAAGGACCCAGTACTTCAGACTTCTTACAATAAAAAACAACATTCCCTGATTGCTACATTTAAGCACATGTTACAGCTCCGTCACAGTGAGTAGATGACAAGCCTTAGAAGCTGTGCAAATAGAGAACAATCACAGCGGAAATTAAAGACCGGACTCTTGGCGACCCAAAATGGCAGCTCAGAGCCGTCTCCTAGGGCAGCAGCTAAGCCATTCATTTGTGTTTAAACAAGAAACTCATTGCCAGGGGAATGAATCTTCATTCAGGCAAGCCCAAGGCAAAGTAGGTTTTCTTTTCTCTCTTCAAAGGCGAAGCTACCTAAACACACAAATATACAAATTTTCCTAAATTTAAATTGCAGGTTATTCTGATTAAACCAAGTTCCCCCACTTTCATGACACCAGATTTCTAATTTTAAATGTTGTGTATGTATGTACAGATGTGATTATCTCATAAATTGGAGGACTTACAAGATGGCAGCACTACAGTGTTCCAACAGCTCAAACTACTATTTTCTTGTTTAACTTTTTCTACAAAAGAAGTTGAGTCCCAGGAAAATTTTTGAATTTGAGAGGGCAGGGGAGGGGGACAGAACAGTTGGCAGTCAGACACCTCTAATTCTCTGTTCATCAAGGGACTGTCTCCTTTCACTCTTTCAGCTCAAGGCGAGGGCACGCCTAGAGTTCCTGTGAAAAGCGAAGGCTCCTGTGACACAGAAAACTCCGCAAGTCCTGATGGTAAGGTCCTAAGCGCTGAGCCCAGGCAGTCTATAGATGCGGCACATTTCCTGTGTGTAATCTAGGATTAAGGGAGCTCACTATTCTGTGAATTAACACATTCCGTTAGGACAAAGTCAAGTTCAAAAACCATTTTCTACTAGGAACTAATAAAATTGGCAGCCTTTTTAAAACACTGACTCTAAGTTTAAAAAACAGCATGTGCCTCAGTTAAATCATAACTCGCAAAAATGAGGCCACGCTGGGTAATCCCAAGGCTAGCCTGGACTGCAGGAAGTCTAGCTGGTGAACTTTATAGACGCATCACTTACTTCTGAAGAAATGCTTGTTCCACTGTTACCCGTGTTACCACCCCAGAGCTTTGGCTTGAGCTTGGGCTAAGGTCTTTCTTGGACTTTCATCACTTTATCTCACCGCATCACATCTGATGCCTTGGCCAAATATGTGCTGAGTCTTTAAAAGCACCCTAGAAATAAACTTACCAAAACCTTTTTTTAATTCACATCTCATTTTGAAAGCAACTGAAGATTGGAGCTTCTGAAATGTGAGCACACCCTCAACGCCTGCTGGGGACCTTTTGTAAGGTCATTACTTGCATTAGAAAAAACTACTGTTTGAGCACATAAGATTTAATAAATATTTCATTCCACTGTCCCACAGAGCTTAGGAGAAACAGAATCGATCAGTGTTCAACTGTTTATATATCTTGCTGTTTGAGTTACTTGCAAATTGCTTTGAGTCAATAAATGACCGTGGAAAAAATTCAGCCACTGGTAGAAGTTACTTAGTGGTTTCACATAGAGTTTCCCATAGCACTGGGTATTCCCCCCTGCTATAGGCCCCTTTTCACAAACTGATTTTTCACTCGTGGGCAAACACTATCTGGAAAAACAATGTTTTAAATACCAGATCTATCCATTAAAAGCTACCACGTGTTAGTCATGACCAGTTGAACAAAACTTGCCCAGCCTGGTTTTGCCTCTGTAGACATAGTTCATAACTAATTTTTACAAAGCATTTTCTGAAGAAGACCAAGACCAAGCCCATATAATGCTCATTGAATACAAGAGAAATAAATGTGAGAAGTACTAAGTTTTAGTCCTTACTTGGAGATTCACCATGCATACTACAGGCTTCTCCCAAATGTATTCAATCATGGAATGCTTTTATAGTAACATTGACTAATAGGTTTTGTAACTAATGACTATTGGATTAGAAGAAGAAACAGAAAAGGCATATTCTACTATATTTTATTATGCTCCAACACTGAGATGGGCACACTTACAAAAATTTTGTAGACCAGGATTGAAAGTCCCTGTATTATTCTCTTTATATAGGTAAATCTTCTGCTTCTGGCCAGTTTACACTTGGGTTTAGAATGAGCTCACATGTCATTAGAAACCCAGGTGAGACCAAAGAGACCTGTCTTTCAAACCTTCCTCCTTAAGAAAGAGTTGGGTGGGATGCCACATGACGTCATTCCCTCTTTCAAACCTCTTTGGAGAATGAAAACGAACATCTGCCACTATTTTACTTTAGTCAAGCTTTGAAGTTCAAGAAAAACTGATTTCAGTTGTTGATTTTGTGCAAATAAATACAGGCTACCCAAATGAGAAAACTCAAAGGTTACTTATTCTGAGCTTACCAAAGTGTCAACCATTAGCACTTGTGTTTGGCCAACTCAAAGGCAGGCAGGGAAGTGAGAAACTTTTATAGTTTACAAAAAGAGAGGCTCCATGTTTCTACGTCTCTGAATTTATTTTGTTCATCAGTTTATTTTGTTCTTTGGATTCCACATAAGTGAGATCGTGTGATACTTGTCTTTCTCTATTTTGCTTAGCATAATACTCTCCAGGTCCCTCACTATGAAACCTCAGAGGGAAGGTATGGCTGGGTGGGTGGAAAGAGATCAAGCAAAGAACCTATATGCATATATGCATAACCCATGGACACAGACAATAGTGCAGTGAAAGCCTGGGGTGGGGCAGAGGTGGGCTAGAAGGGGATCAATGGGGAAAAAAGAGGGCATCTATAATACTTTCAACAATAAAAATAAATGTTTAAAAAGCGGGGGGTGGGGGGACTCAAAGCAACCTCTGATTAAAGTTCTTGGCATGAGGAAAGGACACTTGGGCTAAGCAGAAGTGGGACTTCTTAGGCGAGCTAATTGTTGCAGAGGTTGTGGTTTGGTTGCCTGGGCTGGTTGCTACATAGGTTTTAAGTCAGAATTCCATTGTTATATATGGCCTAGCTATTGTCCATTTGTGTATTGTTTCTCCGTTTATAATATGGGCTTTGATGCTTTAAAAATATCAACCTAATTAAACCAATGACCCTTGAAAATGTCCAGAGTGATTGCTATGCCTGCTCTTGGCTACTTCTGGACAATGGCAGTAATTACGAATTCTATTTGTATGCAAATGCTCACCTAGAACAATACACAGTGAAGTAAAAGCACAGGATTTATTATTTCTGTGTGATCGGTTAGATGTTTTGCTTTTCTATTTCATGGTGCCTATTGCCGCTGTACCCAATGGCAGGTTTATAAGGTCTGTTTGGAATTTCAAAATTGAGAACATGGCAAAACAAAGAGGCTATTGACCTAGCCCCTTCAAAGGGAGCTGCTTACCTCTCTGCAGATCAATGATCTCTTTTGCTTTCTTTTCTCTTTGTTTCCTTATATATCTATTAATGCCTTTGAATTTATCTAAGGGTGGTAATACATATACCCCAAATATCAACCCCAAAATCTGGTATGAAATGACAACTTAGCTTCTACAATTCAGTAAAAAGGCAATTCTGTCCTCCCCATTTCTCTTCAGTAAAAATCCACAAGAATGACCCTAAAATCAAAAATGAATGAAAATGAACTGAAAAGAGGTATAAAACAGGAAATCGGAAAAGTATCGAGTCATAGGCCATTTTAATGTGTTTAGGAGATTTGGTTTGAATACATATTTAACCTTTTTGTTTTCCTTTCTGGTTATAGTTGAAATGAATAGTCAGGTTGACAGTGTAAATGACCCAACAGAGAGTCAGCAAGAAGATTAACTAATAGGTAAGTTGTCCTTGTGGTGGGATTTTTCATTGGTTAAACTGGTCTGAGGAACTATTTGTAAATGGCATACTGGATTTCCCTCGACTCTACCAAGTCCCACAGCATGGATCAGGCTAAACTTTAAAAATCTTTATACCAAATAACAGTGTAAGGAGCAAAGATTACCATAGAAGCCTGCCGTCTTTCATAGAAAAAGAAAAGCCACAGCATATTCAAATCATGCAGTACTCTGGTTTTCTGAGCTTTGACAAGAAGAAGAAGAAAAAAAGGTTTTCCATTCATCTTACCTCCTGGCCTCCTGGAGTGATTAAATTATTTCAGCAGCCCCTAGCTGATTCTGAAGTATTGCTTTTCCAGAATTTACCTGCTGAGTTGTTTTAGTAGATCTTTTTTTAAGCATAACAACTAAAGCTTTGCCCTAGGGAATGTGTAAAGCCCCTTGAGTATGTTTGGCAGAAAGAAACCTGTCTCATATCCTAACCTCTCGCACAACTACCTGTGGACCTGTATGTCTGCACAAAGGTTTGTTGAGTTGAATGAGCCTCAGGGAACTCCCAAAGCAAATAAAAGTCTGGGCCAGGCCACACTTAGGAGTTTTTCCAGACCAACACACTAAATCTCTCAGCAGAGAATGAAGTACATCTAGAATGATGAGTGGTCTATAAGTCTTTTCCATATCTTGAAAGCTGGTGAGAAAAATTAGAGGAAATAAGTCAGGCTTGCTATTCCAATTCCTAACTTAAAATAGTTAGCTATTTAAAAAAAAAAACAACCCTATGGAATAAATGAATTGTGGGTTGTCTAGTGTAAGACACAAATGTGTTGACCTTGTTGCCTCCAGCACCACTCTGCACCCCCTGTATCTTCTCAGTAGGTCTCTGCACCCCAAGGAGGCCCTGCGGCACCAGAGCCTTGAGTCCCAGCATGACAGCAGAACGTTTAAAAACGTGTGAAAATACACACGCATCTGCCCATGATCTTGAACATCATTTAAAACTAGATATAACAGAATTTGCATAATGCAAGTATAGCATAGGACTGCTAAAAAATTATAAACACACACAAATATGGTCTTGAAACATGTCTTCGTTTTTTACTGATAACCTCATTCATATATTTTAAATATACTGCTAAGCTGCAAAAATGATATGGTAGAGAAGTGCCATTGAAAAGTAATGAAGTGAGACTAAACCTGAACATTATAAATACAAGTTCTTCAGTGTTGCTTTACCTTTTGCCCTTTAGTTGGCAACAACTGTAAACTTCTTGTCTGGATTTTTTTTTCTTATAGACACTATTATTTTCCAATGTGCTTGATTTCCAGATATTGTACCAGGGCAAATCTGTTTTCTGTGATCACTGTCAAAATATTTTCCTTGACAATAAACACCTATTTATACCTTTACCCAAATGAGTGAGTTGTCAAAACTTAAAGTTCAATATTAGTTTAAGGAAACTCAATTCCAGGAAGAGAAGGGGCTCACACAGGGTCACTTGGCTGGTCAATGGAAGTTTAGATACTCAAAGTACAAATTCTTTGATATCACCATATTATTCCTCAAACAATAGTGAGGTGTGTTTTTTTTAACACAGGTGTCACAGAGAACAGTATGACCTGAGGAATTTCACTGATTCCTACAGAAATATTTGGCAGGTTTGTAAATGTTATCTGGTAGTTCAACAGGAAGAACAAACCTAATCTTTAGTTCTGTGTATCATACCTGTAAGGAAATTAAAGAACTTACAGTAAAACTGAATTAGAATTAGAAAGATCAAAGACATAATGCAAAAATGTTTCGTGTTGTGTAATTTATAATTGTGAAAAATCAGGGGTATCAAAAATAACAATTAGGGAACACATTATTGGAGAAATAGAACACTCTGCAAATGTAAAAAGAATTTTAATAAGTATTTGAGGGCATGTAAAGATGGTTATGGAACTATAGAAATTTGGAGAAATATGGCAGGTGGAGGGGGTTGTAGCTTCCATTTTTGTTCACTCAGAATGCCCGCTCCTGGAATCCAGCCACCTGATGTGAAGCTCAGGCACATCTATAGAATGACAAAGGCCCCATGGAGAGAAACTCAGAGGCCTCTGTGATGTTCTGGTGCTAGTAGAGACCACCTGGAGCAGATAAACTGCCCAGTTGATGCCAGACCAAATTATAGAATCATGAGAAATAATAAATAGCTGATATTCATAGCCACTAAGTTTTGGAATTGTTTGTTATGTTGCAATAGGTAACTGAAGCAATGGAAGTAATACAGAACTCCTCTCAACACATACTTATAAATGAGAGATAAACTATAACAAAAATATTTTAAAGTACAAAGCTCAATGGACATAAAAGCAAAAGGCACCAGGAGTAATGAGGAAAATGAAAGCCAAAACAATAATCTGATGAGCTGGAGATACAACAACCCTAAGGGCTACAGATCGTTGTAGATGCAGAAATAGGCCCTATGGCTAGGGTTTGGGTTCTAATGCCCACCTGGGACCTTGAGCCACTCAGGGTAAGAAGCCGGAACTGATACCTCTACATGTACAAATCTAGGACTCTCAGCTCAAGAAATTAACAAGGAGACGTGGGTCTGCCCAGGGTGCAGCGTGGAGAAAGAAAAAGACTCCCATCATAGGTAGAAAACATAAATGCACCATGACATTGCAACAAATTCATGCCATCCGAAGTCATATAGTAATATACAAAAATTAATTTATATAGTTGATTATAGGTAGCAAATGGAAATATCACTTGGAAATGTCACAGAAGAAAAAATATCTGAAGATGAGTTCACAGTATTTTTGTTTGCATTTGTTAATCCTCAACCAAGGATATTTATCCCATTGATTTTTAGAGAAAGAGGGAGGGAGGGAGGGAGGGAGGGAAGGAGGGGAATAGGAAGAGAGAGAAACGTTGGTGTGAGAGAGACATATACATTGGTTGCCTCCCACCAACATCATAGCAGGGCCGGGGATGGAACATGCAACCCAGGTATGTGCCCTTGACTGGGAATTCAAACCTGTGACCCTTCAATCGACAGGCCGATACTCTAACCACTGAGAAACCAGCCAGGGCGAGTTCACAATTTTAAGACATAAAACACCCAAGGAAGTGAACCATCAAAAATGAGAGTTGGTTGGAGGGTAAAATTACAGGATAATTAGTACCATAAGAACTTGAGAGAGTAGAAAATTTTGAAGACTTTATAAAGTAAATATACATAAAAATGACAAAAAGATGAAAAGCAGATATAAAATAAGAGCAACACTATGAAAAATTAACAATAATTTGGAAAAAGGGAATAAAAGTGTAGTAATATAAAAGACACATGAAGAGATGTGAAGGATAAGACATAACCAAGATGTTTTGTGTTCAATAGCCATTTTAAAAGGAGATAGATTAATAATATCTGAAAGATAATGACAGAATTTATTAGAGTTGATAATAGTCATGAATTTTAAATTAAAGGAAGAACAATAAGTCGCAAGAAAGATGTATATTTAAAATAAATCTACATGCAGGCACTATAAATCCACCAAATAAATCCACCAAAGAGAAGAAATTAAAGCAATTTGAGAGAAGAGGAGCTAACCTAGAAAGAAGTCAGGACTGTGTGAATAGTAAACTTTCCAACAAATGTTTAGGTCAGAAGACAGAGGACTAGTGAATTTTCAAAACTTGGATACAAATAATTGCCAATATAGAGTTCTAGACTAGTTGCCCTATCACTTAAGAAAATGGTATTTGCCATTTTTTAGGTAAAAAAAAACTGCCTCTCAGATTCTTTAAAAGCTCCTACATATACAACAGGAAGAAGAAAATTGAGCCCAGAGGAAAGAGTAGGATGCAGGAAACAATTGTGAGCTACGAAAAATTGTAAGCACAAAGGCAAGTCAAAAGAAATATTGACTATAGATTTATAATAGTAATTGGTGTGTGGTTAAAAACAGGGCAAAACAAAACTACTATTTATGTACATTTTATAATATACAAAGTAATGCTATATACATTTTATTATATGTGTGCATGTTATAAATATATGTACTTAAAAGTATAAAACTATGTAAATTATTGAGTCACACCAATATTAAGATTTGGTCATCTCTGTGAAGGAAGAGAAATAGTTTTTCTTTATCTGTAAGTTAAATTAATTTATCTGTAATGTTTTCTTTCTTAAAGTAAAATGAAAATTAAAAAACATTACAAGGAAATTTGAAAAATATTAAGACATTAAATCTGGATAGTAGATCTATTCTAAATATGTTATACTATTGTCTGTAATTTTCTTCATGTTTAAAATTTTCATTGTTAAAATTATGGTATATATGTAGGAAAGATATAGAAAAATCCTGTAAGGCAGTGGTTCTCAACCTTCCTAATGCCATGACCCTTTAATACAGTTCCTCATGTTGTGGTGACCCCCAATTTCATTGTTACAAATTGAACATAATTAAAGCATAGTATTAATCACAAAAACAATATGTAATTATATATGTGTTTTCCGATGGTCTTAGGCAACCCCTGTGAAAGCATCGTTCGACCCCCAAAGGGGTCGCGACCCACAGGTTGAGAACCACTGCTATAAGGAAATACTTAATATGCTTTTTAAAAACACCATAATATTAACTACAGAAGTTATTGCTAATGCGAAGATTATGCAGGATTCTTTCTTTCCTTATCTACTTATGGATATTTTTAAAATTGTCTAAAATATTGCTTTTACATACACCTACAAACCTCAAAGGTATTTTTTTCCCAAAAGGATTCATAGGATATCAGAGTAGAAAGTTAGCCTTGAGGACATCTGCTCTAATTCTTCCTTGGAGAAATGTGGAAATTTATGGTGACAGAAATCAGATCAATCATTGATTTCAG